AAAGATTTTGAGCAATGTTGAACTGGATTTGATAACTAGAAATGAAACTGCTAGTTGATATGAAATAATGCCAGACTGAATAAATACACCTAAAAACATGTTGAAATTTTCTCTTCTCTGATAAATCCATTTGGAATTACCAGACTTAATTTTAAAAATTATACCAATATAGCTGGGCATACATTTGTGTCTCATTGTGCTTTAAATGAACTTTTCCTGGGTAGTGAGATTGAGCCTCTTTACATGTTTATTGGCCAAGAACATTTCCTTTTCTATAAAATACTTATTCAAGATTTTTGCCTTTATTTTGCTTTTGTTGTTGTTGTTTTCCGTGGCAGATTATGAAAGTCCGGGGGGAGCACTTGGAGTCTACAAACAATGGCAGCACTGACGCAGGAGCCGGGCCCTGAGCAACTGGAAGGTAAGCAGCACAGTGGCTCTCAGACCAGCTGCCCCGGCCCTTCTCTCTCCACCTGCCACTCAGTGGCCTCGAGCGGTGCCAGGAGTTAGGAACAATTTTGGAGGGGGGTTTTGCTGTCATTGTTAGTGCGTCGTTAGCATTCTTTAAAACCAGAGAAACAAATCCTCTTATTTTCTTCGGCTTTTTCTTCTCTAAATAGTCCAGTCAATTTTCATAACAATTCTCTGTATGTTTTGAAAGAATGTGTAACTTGCAGTTGTAGAGTCCAGAGTACCATGTATACCCATTAGATCCACATGTAAATCATAGCGTTTAACTTGTCGAAACTAAAACAAGACAAAAAGCAACATGAAAGCCCAATGGAAGAGGCACCCGTGGTCGCTGTCAGTTCTGATTTGTGGACGCTCTGGCTGCTGAGGAGAACGGCCTTCCAGAGGCTGCGGCCTTCAGGAAGCAGAGCACTTGCCATTTCTTCGGACGAACCTCTGGGCGCAAACAGAACAGCAGTTGTGAGGATGGTGGAAAGCTGGGCAGTGTTTGTTCTCTTGTCCTTGGGACCACCATGAACCTGAACAGTGCAATGTCCCTAATAAGAACAACCTATTTACACTTGCTGCTGCAGGCAAATAGGAGTGTCATAAATGTAAGAAGAGGCGGGCTCCGCGAGGGGATAGAGGATGTGGTTGGTAAAACAGATTCAGGTGCTTAAATCTATGATTAGGAAATAATGGCATATTTCCACTATCCCAATTGCAGCTGTCCAGGTGAATCTGACTCACGGTGACCCCTGGGTCCAGAGTGGATCTGCAGTCTGTCGTTTGTTTAAGGCCTGGTTGGTTGTAAGGCCATTCTTCAGGTATTTTGTCTAGGGACCCTCTGCATGGATTTGAGCCTTTGGCTGGCAGCTCAGCAGATGAATCACTTGCACCACCCACCATGACTCTATTTTTATTATCAGGCAAAAGAAGATGTGTGTTCCTCAGGAGGCCATTGTAGTGTCTAGCTAGCTAGCAATTTGCTCTCCATTGAGACAGAAAGGTGTCTATGTGCGTATTGTCTGTCAGTGGACACTGAGGTATGTGAAAAGGTAGCAGAGCAACTGCCCAGAAAAGGCATGAAGGCACTAGGAGTGAAATGCACGCTTTTAACATCTGGGCAGTCTTGTTGGTTCATTGTAAGCACAGCTCTGTGCCCAGGAATGGCAAATTGCCCATTTTTGTCCCTGTTCCTGCCTGAAAATAAACCACATTAAGAATTCCTCCCCTCCCCCCTGCATTTACATCTCAAGTGTCTGGCATGATTTTCTGCCTCCTGTGACGTGGCTAATGTGTGCCTTTGTGCTGCTTTGAACATTCAGAAGCAGCATTTGGTGTGGCAGGTAAAACTAAATGCAGCTTTTGGAGTTGGCTTAGCATTAAAGCCTGGCTCTTCCTGCAGCACAAGACCTGAGTGTTGATCAGCAAGGATGTACTTTGAGGGCTAAAGTGTACCTGACACAGCCATGGTATTTTCATTTGCCTCATATTCGTGCCAAAGTTGAATATCGAATACAGAAAACTAAAGAAGAATGGATGCATTTGCACTGCGGTGCCGGGGAAGACTACTGAAAAGTACAACTCATCTCTCTTGGAAGAAGTACCACCTCAGTGCTCCTCAGAGGCAAGGATGGTGAGACTTCGTCTTATTTTCGGACATGTGGTCCGGGGAGACCAGTCCCAGCAGAAGGACATCCTCGACCTTACCTAGGAGAAGAAGGCCTCAATGAGATGGACTGACCCAGTGGCTTCAACAAGGGGCTCCAGCTGAGGGACAATGGTGGGGATGGTGCAGGACTGGGCATAAGGCTGCTATGGCGCTGAAATAACTCGAGGGCACCTAGCAGCTTCCCCTTCCATTAGTGAATTTTTGAAGGTTACTTCACCTTTGTGGGTCTGCCTGTTGACCGACCAAATGGAGATAGTCCTACCCATTTCAGAGTTATAGTGAGGAATAAATGAGATGATTTGTGGAGGACTGAGAGGAGTGTATAGCAAACAGCAAGCTTCATGATGAGTGATTTAGTGTGAGAAATATGGTTAAGAATCATGAATTTGGGGAGACAGAAAAGACAGGTGAAAAAAAATAAAAGTTCAAATTAAAAACTGTGGAATTAGAAATATGTTTTATTCAAAGAGATTATATTGATAAAATTATACTGAAAAAAATTACACTGATCTTGCAATTTCATAAGTATAAAGTTGGTCATTAAGAAAACATTGAAAAATCTTTGCACAATATTATTTTTCTAAGATGGTTGCCAAACAAATTTAGTGTTTTAAAAAGTTTTAATTAAAAAATAACAAGCCAATTTTTGTGATACATAAAAACATCAAACACCAACTGGACATCCCCTTATGGAAGAGTCGTGGGAGGAGATGAGCCAGTCAGGGTGCAGGGTAGCAACG